GTCCCGGGGCACCGGCTCCCCACAGTCCGGACACAGGCTCAGGAAGCGACGGCAGTGGGACTCGTGCAGCACAAAGTTACCTGCGGCCACATCCTTTTTGCTGAGGGGGGGGGGGGCAGGTTTACTATGTAAACAGACGGGGAATTGATAACGAGTACAACAGCAACTAATTCACTCGTGGGAGGCCTGTATTCTGAAACCCTTGGAAGTCAGTACTTACATCAGGCAAATAATTTTCTTGTCAACTGACATTACAGTCAGTAACTGACATTACAGTCAGAGGGTTAGTCCTTCAGCGTACAAACAAGGCAGATTTGCAACATCACCCAGCATTTAATCAGCTTTAAAGAGGCCCATGTCTCACCCTTTCTTAGTGAACTTCTCTTACTTCATTATATCATTTATTAATAATTGTTTGGTTCTTACCAGTGGGCACAAAGTCTGTACTCTTCCTTGTTTTCCTCCATGTCTGCTAAAATGGCTGTTTCTCACTTTCGTTTCATCTGCTTTAATGAAAAGAAACTGAAAGTACTTAAGGTCTGACTCACCTTCAGAGCTGATTGGCTGGGTAACCCTCCCAGTTCTGTTTACAGTTTACCTGATAAGTTTTTATGGTTGTCAATAAGTTTATTTAAAAGTTTAGCTGTAATAAGTGAAAGAACATGTAATCTATATTATATCAAAATTCATACACATTTTAGCCAACAAATAGGCTCCAGACCGAATAGGATAAGCGGTTTCAGAAAATGGATGAATGGATGGAATTTTCACTCACTTTTCCATGACTGACTGGCACATTTCCATGACTATGCTTTTGCAGAAGCATCAGTCTACATCATACATAAGAATAAAAAATCTGTGAAAAAAATTACCCCTAGTGAAAAACTACATGATGTGAACAAGATGTGAAATGATTACATTATGCCCTGACTTTAACACATTTAACAAAATCTATTTTTTCTGAATTGATTTTACATTAATCACATATTATTATGCTGTTATAAAATTCCCCCCCATGACTTTTCCATTCCATGATTTTTTTCACGTTTTCTTTTTTCATTCGGTTTTATTTTCTGTAAAGGATTCAGCTTGTTCATTCATCCCAGAAGTAGCGGACTCGTTCCACTTCCTCCATCTCCGATGTAAGTGTGATGCTTCCCCTTCCGTGTTTCCTGGAAACCTTCGACTGAGCTGCTCCCATTTCAAAAATCCGGAATCTCAGCACAGGAAGCGGGTCGCCCCCCCCCCCGCCCCGAGGCTTCCTCACTCTTTACTTTGTGGTGTCTCCACGGTGTGTGCATGTCTGGCCTCCTTCGCAGGATCTCCAGAGGATCCGCGGTGTCCCGGTGCAGCCGCCTCCTTCAGGTACAGCCACCTACTAGCCAATGCCGTATTTTCACTCGAGCCAATCAGGTTTAAGTAATCCAACAACTGATGCCCAGCAACAACAAATCTGGGTTACAAGTGAAATGATCCCCCTTCTGCCCTATTTTAAGATGTACACCAGGGAGACTCAAATCACGGTCCTCAAAGTCCAAGCACTGCTGATTTCCCAGCCTTCCTTTACCTGTGAGCCAGGTGTGAAGCCTCTGGCCAATCAGAATCAGTCATTATTAACCTAACTACCTGGGAGAACTGAAACCAAGGCCTGGATTTGGAATCGAGGACCAGATCTGAAAAGCCCTGACATACACATACAAGTAAGAGTGAAGCTTGAGGCC